AAGTTATTGGAATTTATTTTATATGTATGAAGAAAGAGCCATCAGAAAAATACATGTGATAGAGGGCAAGTGGAGGTGGGAACTGGAGAGAAAAAATCTGGAATCTAATTTTGATTACACTGTAAGGAAATTTATAACCAGCGCTACCTGAAGCCATTTATATATCTGGACTTTCCAGTTAAATATGTGTTTGGGGTTTTTTTGTTTGTTTTTTTTTTTTAAGGGAATTTGAGTCACTTTGTAAGTGCTTCCAACCAAAAGGTACAAAGACAACTACAACACTAGTCTTTATTATGAAGTGCTTATAGGTTAGAAGGGAAATCAGATTTGTAATTTTTTTTTAAAGATTTTATTTATGTATTTATTTGATGAAGAGAGAGACAGTGAGAGAGGGAACACAAGCAGGGGGAGTGGGAGAGGGAGAAGCAGGCTTTCTGCTGAGCAGGGAGCCCGATGGAGGGCTCGATCCCAGGACCCTGGGATCATGACCTGAGCCGAAGGCAGACGCTTAACAACTGAGTCACCCAGGTGCCTCCAGGAAATCAGATTTATAAACAGATACTTGCAACTGAGTATGGTAAGTGTCATTTTAGATAAATGTATAAAATACATTTTTGGAAGGCAAGGCACATATATAGGCAAACCTCAGAGACGTTGTGAGGTTGGTTCCAGACCACCTCAATAAAGCAAGTATCCCAATAAAGCAAGTCAAATTAATTTTTTGGTTACTCAGTGCGTATAAAGTTATATTTACATTATACTAGTCTATTAAGTATGCAATAGCATTATGTCTAAAAAAAAAACAATGTACATACCTTAATTTAAAAATACTTTATAAAGGTTAAAAAAGTCTAACCACCATCTGAACTTTGAGTGCTTTGTTATCACTGATCACAGATCTCCATAACAAATAGTGATGAAAAAGTTTGACATATTGAGAGAATTACCAATATATGATACCAGGACACAAAATGAGCAAATGCTGTTGGAAAAATGGCACCAGTAGACTTGCTCATCACAGAGTTGCCACAAACCTCCAATTCGTAAAAAAAAAAAAAACAAACTCAACATCTGCGCAGCACAAAAAAGTGAAGCATAATAAAACGAGGTATGCTTGTATACATGTGATTTAGGAGGAGTCATAGAGGATGACAAAGGAGAAAAGATGCTCAATCTCTCTTTTTTTTTAAGATTTATTTACTTATTTTAGAGAGAGAGAGCAGCAAGCAGGGGGAGCAGAGGGAGAGGGAGAGAATCCCAAGCAGACTCCCCGCTGAGCACTGGCCCGTTATGGGGCTCTATCTCATGACCCTGAGATCATGACCTGAGCAGAAACCAAGAGTCGGTCGCCCAACCAATTGAGCCACCCAGGCGCCCCTCTCAATCTGTCTTTTGAAGAATGAGTGGTTTGTTGAATCAGGTAAGAGGGGAGAAGTTATTTCAAATAGAAGGACGAGTATGATGGAGATGTGAAGGGGCCTTACGTATGTCCTGTGGCCGGATGGTGAACTAGTTTTAAAGCGGAGTTTGAAGGAATCGTTAGTGTCCGATCTTAAAAGCCTTGCGTGGCATGGTCAGGTGTCTGGACAGTCTGAGTGTGAAGGGGAACCACGGAAGAAATCTGAAAATTGGAGTGATTTGAATGCCTCTGCCCTTCCTAAATTCACTTTGGGGAGGTTAGATTTGGAACCAGGGAAGAGAAATAGACACCTTTGCAGGAACCTAAAGAAGAAACAAGATTACAGGGAGGTTATAGGAGTGAAAAGTAGGAGGAAATCTAAGTTCATGAATTTTAACTTTCTATTTGAATATCATTAACCTCTTTTGTACTCGCTGAATCTTCTTGGGATGTAGTAATGTTTATGACTAAGACTTTAGAGGCAGAATTCAGCTCTGTCACTTCCTAGCTGAATGGTCTTTGGCAATTCGACTCTCTGTAGTACTTTTCCTCATCTGAAAAAATGGGGATGATATTGATATCCACCTCATGGTGTTGCCATGATAAATAAATCAACACAGGTGCAGGGCTTAGAATAATACATAGCACATGGAAATTATTCAAAAAAATATGAGCCACTATTATTTTGCTCTGCATTCACTATCATATCCATTTACAACAGATCATCAATGGCCACCACTCTGATTTTTACAGACAGAAAAATTGAAGCTCAGAGAAGTCATGTGATTAGCCACATCTAGGAATGTACTAGGATGTGAATCAGTCATTTGTTTGCCTCTAAAACCAGTGTTTTAATCTTTGATATACTATCTTCTCTCTGTCTTGAGTAATGATTTCCCTGTGACTCCAAAAGAATTTCCTCTACTTCACTTAGAATAACTGCATCCTTCATAAAGCCACTCTCAGGTAGCCCATTTTTTTTCTCATTTTTTTTGCCATGATTCTGTGGGACACACCACAAGGACATCATGGGGTCCTTGATAGCCTAGCTTCTGAGTCATATTTTCAGTTTACATTCAAGAAGGTGATTGCAAAGATGTTTTACTGAGAAACAGAGATGTTAAAAGTAGCCCAGGTGCTGGGGATTTATAAGATTGAGGGCAGTATCCTGGTAGAGCTGGTGGTTTCATTGTTGGTTTTCTTGCTGTTGATAAAGGTGACGCTTTGGTTATCCATCAGTTATTGATAATTGCCCCTTTCTCTACTTGACCGAATTGCAAAGTGAAAAACACAGTGCTGGGAGCACCCAAGTGAGGTGCTAAAACCAAATCAGAAGACCAAACCAGACTGGTGAGTTTGTGCCCTGTCCTGCCTGCTCTGGAATGTCCTACCTGAAGCCCAAGGCACTGTCAGAGGACAGTGGGTCTGAAGGTGGTGAAGGCTCCAGGCTCCCAGAACTCTGTTCCCCTCAGAGTTTTAGTTCCTTCACCTCAATTCATAAAAAGTTAAGGTTTACATCCCCCCGCATCACATCGAACTTTGGCCAAATTAGGTCCCTAATAAATATCCCTAAAGTAAGATCATAAAGAATAAGCAAAGATGATGGTTCAGGAGTTTCTGCTTGGGGTGATGAAAACATTTCAGAGTTACTGACGGTGGTGACTCACCAGTGTGAATGAAATTAGTGCCACCAAATGGTACCCTTGAAAAATGTTAAAATGGCAAAGTTTATACAATTTTTAAAAAGAATAAGTGAAAAGCAAGCAAACGAGGGAGTGAATGAATGCAAGGATAAGTGGGATGAGGAACAGATGAACAAACACGTAAATGAACAAGTGAACACATGACTGAATTTCCCATGTGTTTTCAAAGATTAAGTAGTTTCCATAGAATGCCAAGTGCAAGTCTCGGTCTCACACAGCATGGGACTCTGGCATGCTAAAAGGAAAAGAATAAACGACATTGTTTTATTTAGAGGAACAGCTGTTGATCATGAGCTGTAAATTTTTTCCTAATGTAATGGCCACTGAGCGGAAGCCCTAATACGTCACAGGATTAAGTGGTGCCAAAAATGGCTGTAAGCCTCTCGGGGCCTCATGTGGCCAGCCTGCCACACAGCGCCGCTCAGATGTTCACAGGCATAGCCAATCTGCTCTCAAATTGGAAACTGTGGTAGGCTGGACTATATGGATTTAAAAAAAAAAAAAAAAAGGAGAGAGAGAGAAACCTGCTGAAGTAACATTTCCTCTTAAGAAAAAGGCTTTCTCCAATAAAGACGCAAAAGGCAAGGCTATAAACTGAAGAGATTAAAATAAATGACAACTGGTTCTCATAATAATCATTAAAAAAATATCAGGTAATTTAGATTTGTGCTGTGTCATCCCTTCACTCTCTGGAGCTTAGGTGGGACAATAAGGTCTCGGTGAGAAGGTTTGGTATTTTGTCAGAAATACCCAGGTCACCAGCAACATCTGAGAGGTAGTCAGGTTTCCATGTCGGAGGGTTGAGAGGAAAGGGTTAATGTATCTCCTTGGCATCAGAGGGACATTGTGCCCTGAGTAGGGCTCTAATCTGCTTCCATTTTCATTAGAGACCTTTCCTTAAGTATGAAGCCTGGGAGGGGCAGCATGATCCGGGGGAAAGAACAGGGAATTTGGAGTTAGGAGTTCTACTGGAGGCTAGGGCAGCATTGGGCTGTCAGATTTGTTAGATTTCTAAACCTGTTTTCTCTTTTGCAATATGATTGGGAAAATCCTTACCTTTTAGAGAGTATGTACAGTGAACACTGACCATAGTGCGTAGTAGACATAATAAATATCCTATGGTGTTAATTGAAAAACAACAGTGGTCAAGAATTTGCAAAACTGAGTTTTAGTGACAACTGTTTCATTGACTTTCCATGTGACGCTGAGAAATTCACTTCACCAGTGTAGGTCTGTCTCTTTGGGTGAATGGATGAGACCAGATAAGTTTTGGAGTCTTCCTTAGTGCTGACATTGTATGTATGTATGTATGTATGTATGTATTTTGAGAGTGCACACGCATGAGTGGAGGGGGGGAAGGGAAGGAGGACAGAGGGGAAGGGAGAGACAGAATCTCAAGCAGACTCCCCACTGAGCACAGAGCCCAACATAGGGCTCAATCTCACGACCCTAAGATCATGACCTGAGAAGAAATCAAGAGTCGGACACTTAACTGACTGAGCCACCCAGGCACCCCACATTTTAAAAATCTATTTTTAGTCAAGGTCAAGGATTCAGAGTGGCCTTTCAGTTCCCTGGATTTGGTAGTTGACTGAGGTGTTATTGCACCAGCAAGGAAAAGGACCTTAACGCTTTTACAGGTGACCAGAATCTCCTCAATGTATACCAAAAGCATATTCCAAGGGGAAAGTACATTTCTTCTGTGTATTCTGTTCTTAAATCTAATCCCCATATAATTTAAGGTTGACTGGAATGATGTCCTGATGACCCTGGCCATCAGACCCTGGGGTGGGAATCTATAGTAATCAAAAAGAGAAGCCAGGATAGCCCACAGACACTGAATGGGTAAAGAAAATAGTAAGGCAACCACCTCAACATCCACACAACCCCACAAATACCTGAGTCATCTTGATTCCATCTTTTACTCCAATCCACTAAATTCAATCACTCCACAAATTCCGTTGGATTTCATTTCTAGATGTCATAAGAATCCATCAGTTCTCTCAAATTCCCATTACTGAAATCCAAGTCTTGGACTACTTCAGCAAGTTCTAACTGGACTTGCAGCCTCTGGTTTTCACCCTCGATGAGCCATTCTCCAACCTGTTACACTCCAGGAAAACCTTCGATGGTTTCCACTAGAGCTTAAGGCACAATTCAAAGTAATTTACTGAGGACACTCATGAGATACACACTTTCTGGCCTCTGTTTACCTCCTGTGTCACATCTCCAACAGCTCACTTCATCCCATAATTAGCTCTACCAACCCCATGCTCCCTTCTGGTCCTCCAACCTGCCATAATCTGACTTATTCCCTGCTCTTCACAAACCTGCTCTCCCCAGCATGGAATACTTTTCCTCCTTCTCTGCTCTCCTCCTCAACTTCCAACTTCTGCCACAATAATTCCCTCTGCTTTTCCTGATCTCAGCTTAGGCGTTGCGATTTGCAAGAACCCATTTCTTTCCCCCACTCAGCCCCTTCTCCACCTTCGAATTAGATTACAGGATCCTAATGCTTTCGTCTCACCTCTGTAATCTGTCCTCATTTTTTTGTACTTTGTGGCCATTATCTGTTCAGTTGCCTGTCTCTATTTGCTAAATTGTGAACCCAGTGAAAGCAGGGATTCGGATGGTTTTATTCATTGTAAGGTCTCTTAGCGCAAAGCATAATAAATGAAGCATATATGCATACTTGCATGCATAACTGAATAATCCACAAGATTGAATCTTGTATATAGTTCTTACTATTTCTTTGACCTTGGGCAAATCACTGAAAATCTTGGAACCTCGCTATTCTCAACAGAACAACAAATACAAATTCTATGGATTCTTGGCTCCTTGATTGAAAGGATTCTGTGAGATCAGGCATGGGGACTATGAAAACAATGACATGTGATATAAACAAGCTGGGACTGATTATTGTTATTTACTATTTATTTCCTCTTCTGAGGCATCACAGCTTTAGTACCAAGAGAAATAGGAGGATAGGGCCCCAAAATTCTTTGCAATCTAGTTCTGGGGAAATAGCTTGCTTGCTGACTGCTAAAAAAACAATTTCCCTGAATTTGACTTTGATTTCTGTCAGTCCTATTAGATTGTACCTTCCGAGAAGAGCCATTTGTTTTTGAAAACAAGTTGTACTCTGTGTTCTGCTGTTAGTTAACTCACCAGCACCATCTGCTCGGCTGTTATGCCCAATTTGAATCAGAAGGAAAAGGATTCTTCCTGTCTGCACATCCTGAAGAAAATACAGACTCCCAAGAAAAGTCAAGGAGGTGGAGGAGATCTGTGGCCAGTTGATTGGGTGATTTTGGTCTCAGGTCCCATTTTGACAAATCAGTATTAGGACGAGAGTTGGCCTGTAGCCAAGGGTGAGTCAAGTTCTCAGACTCTGGACTCTGTGCTGCCTAGATTTTCATGCCATCCTAGGGAAACATGCTGAAGAGGTGACGACTTTGTTTGGCTATTAGAAGAATCCTTTAGATTCCAAGGAAAAAGCAACATGCCCGGTATCACAACTGTTATATTTGTTGGGACTAGAAGATGTGTCAAATTTGGCACATCTGTCCCTGGGTATCTATGCATCAATCAGAAATTTACCTCTATAATCTTTGAGGAGAGAGAGAGAAAAAAAAAAAACAGAGAGAGAGTGTGTGTGTGAGAGAGAGACACAGAGAGAGACAGAGAGAGAGAGTGTGTGTGTGTGTGAATTTGTTCTGGGTGTGTGTACTAAGTCTGTGTGTCTGTGCAGTGGATGATGCCGAATGGAAGGAGTGGACAATGAGTTAGAATACATGCGTGGAGTTACAAACTAATAAGGCAGAGTGATTCCAAGTATTCCTAAACCAGACTCTGGTTGAAGCACTATTCTTTAGCTGCCAAAAAAGGATTTATTTCTTGGAAACTAGCAATGCAATAAAGCCGACCCTCAATTTCCTATAATAACAACAAGCTTCAAGTTTGGCATCCATATCACCAGGGACAAATTGTGCCAAGCAAGCAAAGGAGTCAGAACCAGCACCCACAAAGGCTGTTCTCAATTCAGCAAAAGATGTTCTTCTAAAGTGACTGAGCTCTTAGCTCCCGGCTTCCAGCCTGCCCACCCACTGAGCTGCTCTGCATCCTCCTACTGGCTCCTTCCTTCTCACTCTCTGCTGGGGCCAAGAAGAAGGCAACTGGTTCTCATAGAGACTCCTAGGGAAGTCAGCTCCTCTGCCAGGTTAATTTTCATGTTTACTGAGGATATGCCTTGAGCTGAAACTTGAGCCATGCCTTTCTAGTATGGATCGGGGTGATCTGATTATGCCCACACTAGTAAAGGCAGACAGGGGAGGGGAAAATCTCAATGGGTGCCTGTCTCCTTTGGCAGAGTCTTCTGAAGATGCCTGGAGGTGACTTAACCTTCTTCCAACAGAGAAGTGTTTCATTTTCAGTTGAAAAACTGCTTTTTCCCCCCAAAGAAACTAAAGTTCACCAACACTTTTCAGTTTCCCTCAGGTGTCATAAATATTACCTTAAAAAGAGTTATATTAATAATAGCTACACTTATTGACCACCGTTGTCCTAATCTGTGCGTGATACCTGGTGGAAATTACCTTTAATTCTCCCAGAACTTTCTATGTTGCCTCAAGGTCCCCATTTACATAATCTCATTCTCATGCCAATTTTGGGGGAGGGCAATTTCAGAGCAAGGGACAGAGACACCCTTGGGAAACCCTAGGCAATGAGAACTTATTTTGAGGCTCCATGAGGCGGGACTGAAGCGAAGCTAATGATTAAAGAACCACGTCTTACGTGGAAATTAGAATAATAATAATTAACTATATTATTAGTAATATAATATTATAAATTTAAATATATAAGCTGACAACTATTTAAAATTTATAAATATAAAATAATTGTACTATCAACAATATATATTAATTAATAATATTAATTATTAATCACCATTGATCTGGTAACCCCAAATCAACGCTAAATTCTGCTGTTCTTATGGCTCAGTTGCTCCTCATTCTTCTCCTGCCTTATAGTCATTCCCAAGAAAGAGGATCTAATTGGACTCTTTGTCACCATCCAAGAAAAAGTATCCCTGTTTAGTAGAATTTTCCTTCTAGTTGGCCACGTGGGACATTTGCCAGTTAGTTCTTGACTCAAACCCCATCCTCAAATCCAGGCTGTGGTGATCAGGTTACTTAGTTCCTATAGAACAAATCACTTTACTATAGAACAAATCATGGTGACTTATAGTTGATAAGAACCTCCTTCCGCAGGTTGGTTTGTTTATTTGTTCATTTGTTTGTTTTCTGGAAAGGTCCTTGGAGGTTTATTACACAGCCTGACAAAGACCATTTATAAACGAAGAAACATAGGTTCATGAATTGTAATGACTCATCCAAGGTCACAAATCTGATCAGTTGCATTACTCATGTTTGAACGTAGGCCCATCGTTTTCCTAGCACTGTGTTTACCATCCTGCTTTGTTGTCTGTTTGATTTTGCAATGGTTGTTCACTGAAACATTCATATCTCTATGTTTCTGATTTTTGATTGCTAAAGATTGCTAGCAGTCTTTCCCAATCACAAGCTTACATGACACAGAAAGGCTGATAGAGAGAAAATGAAAAAAGTAAAACAAAATAATGGTGGATTAGAGAGTGTCTTAAGGGAAGAAATTTGTATACTCTTCGAAAAAAACTGTCCCCCGGAGCTTAGAAGTGACCTGTCTGCCTGATAATAAAAGAGAAGAGAGACATCCAGAAACACATCCAAAAGAAGGTAGGAAAGGACTGTTACTGTAAAGTTGAAAGAGAGATGGGCTTATGGCTGAAAGGACAAAATTTCTATAGTAGAGATCTTCTTGTCCGACACTACCAGGATCATAGTTGCCTGGATAATCAAAAAGTTAGTAAAAAGTAGGAAATCAGAAAACATAATGCATAGATATCTTAAATATCCTATTTAAAGACAAGCTGACTAAAATCTATTTATTGGTTAATAATTTGATTTAGACCCAGGCTTTCTCATTCAGGTTGCCTCTATTAATTGGAATGTTATGTTGCCCCTATATAAATATTATGTACCATCTATTATTTTAGTTTATTTAAAGTGAGGGTCAAACCTTGAAGGCTCTTGAAACAAGTTGGATACAGACATTTTCTAGATCTTTCATCATGGCTTCTTGGTCTTTTAAAATTATTTCGCACACATCTTTTTTTTTTTTTTAATTTTATTATGTTATGTTAGTCACCATACAATACATCATTAGTTTTTGATGTAGTGATCCACGATCCATTGTTTTCATATAACACCCAGTGCTCCATGCAGTACGTGCCCTCCTTAATACCCATCACCGGGCTAACCAATCCCCCCTCCCCCCTCCCCTCTAAAACCCTGTTTGTTTCTCAGGTCCATAGTCTCTCATGGTTCATCTCTCCCTCCAATTCCCCCCGCCCATTTTTCCCTCCCTTCTCCTAATGTCCTCCATGTTATTCCTTATGTTCCACAAATAAGTGAAACCACATGATAATTGACTTTCTCTGCTTGACTTATTTCGCTTAGCATAATCTCCTCCAGTCCCATCCATGTTGATGTAAAAATTGGGTATTCATCTTTTCTGATGGTTGAGTAATATTCCATTGTATATATGGACCACATCTTCTTTATCCATTCATCTGTTGAAGGGCATCTCGGCTCTTTCCACAGTTTGGCTATTGCAGACATTGCTGCTATGAATATTGGAGTGCATATGGCCCTTCTTTTCACTACATCTGTGTCTTTGGGGTAAATACCCAGGAGTGCAATTGCTGGGTCATAGGGTAGCTCTATTTTTAAATTTTTGAGGAACCTCCACACTGTTTTCCAAAGTGGCTGTACCAACTTGCATTCCCACCAGCACTGGAAGAGGGTTCCCCTTTCTCCACAACCTCTCCAACATTTGTTATTTCTTTCCCTGTCCATTTTGGCCATTCTAACTGGTGTAAGGTGGTATCTCAATGTGGTTTTGATTTGAATTTCCCTGATGGCTAATGATGATGAACATTTTTTCATGTGTCTGTTAGCCATTTGTATGTCTTCTTCAGAGAAGTGTCTGTTCATCTCTTCTGACCACTTTTTGACTTGATTATTTGTTTTTTGGGTGTTGAGTTTGAGAAGTTCTTTATAGATCTTGGATACCAGCCCTTTATCTGTAGTGTCATTTGCAAATATCTTCTCCCATTCTGTGGGTTGCCTCTTTGTTTTGTTGACTGTTTCCTTTGCTGTGCAGAAGTTTTTTATCTTGATAAAGCCCAAAAGTTCATTTTTGCTTTTGTTTCACTAGCTTTTGGAGATGTATCTTGAAAGAAGTTGCTGTGGCCGATGTCAAAGAGGTTACTGCCTATGTTCTCCTCTAGGATTTTGATGGATTCCTTTCTCACATTGAGGTCTTTCATCCATTTTGAGTTTATCTTTGTGAATGGTGTTAGAGAATGGTCGAGTTTCATTCTTCTGCATGTGGCTGTCCAATTTTCCCAGCACCATTTATTGAAGAGACTGTCTTTTTTCCATTGCCATTCCGCACACATCTAATTTCAACTACATAATTCAGTTGCTTTTTTAAAACCAATTGGAACTTATTGCGTCTTTCCAAAGCATTCCACTTAGTTTTCTTAGCATCTTAGTATAAGTAATTCTCTTTCCATATTCATATTTTATCCATTTATGTAATATTTAACTGAAATGCATAATCACAATAAGTAAAATGGCATACACAGATTTTGAAACAGACACAACTGACTCTTAGTAAACATATAACACTGGGGGAGGGGAGTAAAAGTACAAATGTGCAACAGAGAGCAGAAGCCTATTACTATGAATGTTGAGATGCCAATGGCATCAGTCCATAATTGATAGAGAGAATGGAGAGCATCATTTAATTTGCCAACTCAGTTGTGTGGAGTTTGGATAAAAGACTTTATAATATGGTTGACTTTGATGTATTCTACAAGAGTAAACCCTGTGTTTTCTACAGGAAGAAAATCAGGAAAATATGTTGTGTGGCTGAGGAATACCAACTAGGAACAATCCTATATACCACTCCTTCTTAAACTAGCTATTAAACATTTACAAGGTCAAGAATTTGGTGGCATAAAGAAGAAAGCCAAAGTACCATCTTTATATAACAATGAATCATGGATCACTACATCAAAAACTAATGATGTACTATATGGTGACTAACATAACAAAATTAAATTAAATTAAATTTGAAAAAATTAACAAATTATTGATTTGGTGTTTTAAATAAAATTAATTTATATGAATCTATAAAAACATCTGCCCTTTATTTCAGATACTCCCTAGGAGTCTTTGAGGATGTTGCAGGGTACATAATATACTGTGTTCATTAAGGGTATTTTGATTGTAACTGGGAAAACTAAACCAACAAAGTAAAAAACTAGAGCTAGGTAAAGACACACACACACACACACACACACACTTCTTTTAAAGGAAAATAGGCTATTTCAAAAATTAAGACTTGAACTACCAGAACTCCATGTGAAAGCCAGAATTCTAAGATGGCCCCCAAGATTCCTGCCCCAGTATAATTGCTCTGTATAATTTCCTCTCATTGAGTATGGGCCAGACTTATAAATATGAT